ACTGTACTGGAGGTGTTTATAATATTGCATTCCTAGTAACTCATTATTATTTTAAAAATTACTTAGTGCCCATTAGGCAATGATCCCATGCTAGGCAATGATGATAAAAGGCAAAGAGGGAGAAATTCTGACCTTTTAGCAGTTTTAGTATAATGGGGAGAAGATAGGGCCAAATCAAGAACTGTCAATAACTGTAAGTACAATAAGGAGGTAAGCACTTGGCAATACTGGAGAATGATAGATCCTCCTTTCCCCAACTGATGGACGGAGAATGACATAAACTCCATCTGCAGCACGGACTTTCCTGAACACCTAACCAGGCACCTTATATGGACTATAGATTGAACCACCAATCAGCACCTGCCAAATACCCTAAGGCCCCCCACCTCCCCATTCCTAAGTCCCTAAGTGCCTAATCATGTGCCTTATATGAAACCACCAATCAGTGCCAAGTACCCTAAGGCCCGTCTCTTTCCTTCCCTTCCCTCCCCTCAAAAGGTGTGTTCACCCTTGCATATGTGCTCACTTCCTTTGGGAGGCAGCCCGGCAGGGTTCCTTCTCCTGTAATAAAGCCTCTGTCCTGGTCTCTGGCACTCTGTCTCATCTTTCAGAGAACAGAAATACGTTTTAATTTTTAAAATATATATTTTATTGATTTTTTTTACAGAGAGGAAAGGAGAGGGATAGAGAGCTAGAAACATCGATGAGAGAGAGTCAGGGACCAGCTGCCTCTTGCAAACCCTCTCCTGGCGATGTGCCCGCAACCAAGGTACATGCCATTGACCGGAATTGAACCTGGGACCTTTTAGTCTGCAGGCCGACACTCTATCCACTGAGTCAAACCTGACTCGGTTAGAAATAAGTTTTAATTTAAAAAGAGTAGGTAATATAGACAGAATGGGACATCTATTTAAATGAAAAATTTTTATTTGTCTGAATAAAAAAAATTTTTTTTAATGACAATTTAACTGGAAGGCAACAAGTTCAAGGCCAAGAGGAGCCTAAGGAGACATGATTAAATGTTTAGGCCCTGGATGGCATCCTGGATCAGGGAAAGGATATTAGAGAAAAATTGAATAAATATAAGTAGAATATGGATTTTAGTTAATCATGTGTATTATTATCAGTTCCTTGTGACACATGTACTGTACTAATGTAAGATATTAATAATAGGTGAAATTGGGTGTAGAATATACTAGAACTATTTGAAGTATCTGTGTAATAATTCTGTAAATTCAAAACTTTTAAAATAAATGTTTCATTAAAATATTTAAACTGGCATCTTGTATTTTTGTTAGATCTGGCAATACTAAAACTTTTACTTTCAAATAATCATTAAGCATAAAATACAAAAAATAATCTTATATTGATAATTAAGGGATTTGAGTTGTATATAATTTCTCCTAAGTACTTGATCCAAACACTTTATTTTTAAATATATTTGTGGAATAAAGCACACATAGAGAAAAGAGTGCACTAACCATAAGTGTGCAACTAGATGAATTTTCACCAAGTAATCACACTAGTGTATGGGTGTAACTACAACCCAGGTCGGGAAAAGCATGTGACCAGCAGTCCAGAAGCAACCTCATGGTCCTTCCCTATTAAAGGTAATCATTATCCTGACTTCTAGCACCATATATTAATTTGCCTGTGTACCTAACATAAAAGAACTCAAACTATATGTACTGCCAAATACTTTATTTTCTATACAGTTAATTTGTTTTCCTTTTTTTTCTTTCCTTTTTTTTGGCAAGGCTCAAGCAACCAAATAATCATTAGGGATTATTCTTCAATGTTGAAAAAAGAACTGGTTTAAGCCTCCCTCTCCCCAAATGAACCTTCAATAAAATTAATCTTAATTTGGTTTGTGCACATCTCAAGAGACTTAAAAAATACAGTTATGAGAAAATCAGCAAGGTTAAGATTCTTCAAGTAATCACTTTTCTGGGGTGACTGATAATTTATGCTGCCTGGATGGAAACCGATGCTGATTATTTTATTCTTGATGCTCCTTTGGGAAAGAACCACCTGTGTATTGTGGAAGAAGACCTTAGAATTTGGAATAAAAATAGACATGTATATGATAACATTTTTATTTGAAGAGGAACTTAGAAAAAATCTTTTATTAAAAAAAAAAAAAAAAAGGAAGATGAGGATTTTAAGCGAGTGCATTTTAGAATATTTGCCATTTTCCAGATACAAGACAACCAAATATATTTTGCTCAACTTTAATTATCTGCTTTGTTGCGTAACAAAACTAGGAAGTTAGTCCTTATTGCTTAATACTTGTTGATAATATGCTAGGCCTTATGAAGAAAATCTGTTTTCAATGGTGGTAGAACTTATATGTCAGAGGTTTATACAGATTCCCTCAATAACTATTGATTTCTATTCTAAGTGATAAGACCCTAAAACCAACATGTATTTGTGCCACAAGACTTAACGTTATACATTTCATTTGGTAAACTTGCAGAGCATGTATTACGTGCAAAAAATTATGCTGAACAACTTTGGTATGTCCAGAGATAAGAAACAGTTCCTATGCTATGTTTCTACTTGTGCTAGTCAAAGGTTTTGTCCTTTTACAGCGGAAAAGAATCAGGTTAAGTTAGATGTTTAATCTCAGAGTCCTTAGTCTTCTGAAAAACAATCTCTTCCCCCCCCCCCCCCGGCCACTCCCCCCCAAAAAAACCCCATAAGGCAAAAGTTTAAAAACAGATACTACGTTTAAGGATTTGGGTTCGTTTAAAGCAGGACCATGGATTCTTTACTGATTTACACAGAAAGGCTAGGTCTGTCCCCGGAGTTAAAAAAGGGGGTTCATGTTTTTCCAACTGGACTGTTCCCTCAGGAGCTCCATGCGGTCCCGGCGGGCAGCCCCCTTCCGTCTGACCCCCGGGATCAGAGGCTGCGGGGAGCCCCGCTCCGGCCGGAGGAGGGGGCCTGGGGGCCAGGCCTGCAGCCTGCAGGTCGCTGGCCGGGGCTTCGGAGACCTTAGCCCCAGCAAAGGCCGCCCAAAGCTTCCGGGCGTGCAGCCACGTGGACGGCGGCCCGCCTTCCCGACTGGGCGAGTCCCGGCAGCGCCCTCTCCCCGGCCAAGAAGCCGGGTTCCGGGATCGAGGCCGCGGGGCGGGACTCGGGGCTGCGCGGGGCTATTTCCTCTCCGTGCGGTCAGCCGGGGTGAGGAGAGGCCGAGCAGCAGCCTGGGCGGAGCGTCCCACGGCGCTGCCGAGCCCGGCCTGGGCTGTGGCGGGCACGGAGGAAGCCGCGTAGTGCGGGAGGAAGCCCGCTGCCCCATGCCGGGGGAAGAACGGGCGGCCAACGGGCGGAGGTCCCCCACCACAGCCCACACGCTCGGGAGAGGGAACCTGAGAGCGCCGGGGGGAGGGGGCGGGAAGAGCGGGCGGCTCTCTCTGCGCATGCTCCGCGCGGGGAGCCTGACATGCGCCGTGAGCCCAGGGTGGGTTGGCGGCGGGTGGGGCCGGGCGCGAGCGGGCTGATGTGTTTATCCGGCTTTCTGGGTGGGCGGTCACAGCGCACGCGTTAAGGGCGAAAGGCGGCGGAATGCGCACGCGCTGAGCGGGCGGACAGCCCCGGGAGGGCGTGGAGGGGGCTCTGGGAGAAGCAGGGGAAAAGGGAAGCGGAGGGAAAGGAAAGGGCGGGGGGAGGGGGGAGAGCGTGCTCTGCGCATGCGTGCGAGCGCCAGCGACGACGGCGGCGGGGGAGTCTCGGGGATGACAGTGGCTTTGCCCGTTGGGGTAACGGTCGTCGTCTCTGGCTAGGGCTTGGGGCGCCGCACAGCCCGCAGGATCCATTAAAAGCCGCAGCCACCCGGGCCCTACCGAGCTAGAGTGGCGCGTGGAGTCGGGGTGAGGGCGGCGAGGCGCGGGGGGAGGGGCCTGCGGCGGGGCCTGCTGTGTGCGCTGGGCGGCGGCGGCGGGCCTGGGCTGTGCGAGCGCTCGTCTCCGCCGCGGCCGGCCGGGCGGGCTCCGTGGGCGGCGGCGGCGGCGGCCGCCGTCGTGCTTGGCGGAGGCGGCGTCCGTGTGTGTGCAGCGCGGAGAAGATGGCCGGGCAGTGAGGGGCGGCGCTTGCGCCTGGTGACCTCGGAGTGAGCGACTAAGGAGCGAGGGGCGCCGTCGGCGGCGCCGCGGCCCGCCTGGGCCTGCTCCCCGCCCCCCTCCCGCCGCCGCCGCTCCGCAAGCCGCCGCCGGGGCCCGCGAACTTCCTCCCGGCCCTCCCTGACCGGCGCGGGACGGACTTTCCCGCCTCGGCGGCACCTGGAAACCAGCGGAGCTGTACAATCGCCGGGGTGGAGAGCCAGGCGCCGTCCGGTCCCCCGCGTCCGATATGGAGAGAGCGGCGGCGGCCTGGGCCAGCCGCAACAGCAGCCTTCGGAGCCGCCGCGGCCGCGGCTTCGGGCACTAAGATCGAGGGAGCGGATCACCCCGGAGCTGTCGTCCTCGCTGTCGCCGCTGCCTCCTCCGCTCCGGGCGCTGTGATGGAGTAGAGGGCCCCCCGCAGCCGGTGAGAAGCGTGCCCGCCCCTTGGACCGGACCGGACCGGGCCGGGCCCTGCTCCCGCCCAGCTCGACCCGAGGTGATACCTCCGCGCCTGCCCGGAGATGCTGCTCGAGCGAAGGCCGCCCGCCGAGCCGCGGGGCTAGAGACCGGAGTCCGCGGCCCGAGCACCGAAGCCGCCTCCGCCGCCGCCGTTCTGAGCCCCGCGGCCGCCTGGGACAGACTCGAACGCTGGTTTTCTCTTTATTTTTTCAACTGCAAAGTCTCAGGGACGGAGGAGGAGGGGCGCCAAGGCCCCCATGTGTGGGAGGATTGCTTCAGCCTCGCAAACTTGCACGGATTTTGGTGACTCCCCTGGCCAGCGGTTCTGCTCTGATTTCCTCCGAATCGTCGCAAACTCGCCCTTGTCCCCAGGCTGCTCACAAAGTTGGATCCGGAATTTTTTTTCCACCGGGAGCCCACGGTGCCCAAGTGTCTGCAATGAACCCCGTGAATGCTACTGCTCTCTACATTTCCGCGAGCCGCCTAGTGCTCAACTACGACCCCGGGGACCCCAAGGCGTTTACCGAGATTAACAGGCTCCTGCCTTACTTCCGACAGTCCCTCTCGTGCTGTGTGTGCGGTGAGACGCCTTTTATTGTTCCCTTTTTAGCCTGTCCTTTTTTTTTTTTAAATATCTTTGGGCAATGGTTAACAGGAAGGGTTGGAGGGCACGGTAGTTTTAAGCTTTGGTTATTTGTGCAGGTAGTCATTAGTTTTGAAACTCCAAAGGACTTTCACCCGGCATTTCGGAAGGAATCCTTCCAAACCGCTGTGTACAGCGGTCTGGACGTGTGAAACTTTTTATTTCACCTTAGGTCAGTTCCTTAGCATTTCTGATGATGGTTTGTTTGTTTTTAAAATGACGTGAAATATGCATGTATCCTGCTGCCGCCTTTTTTTTTTTTTTTTTTAATTAACCTTCGGTACAAGAACTGATTTAACACCTAGCTTAGTTAAATCCGGTTAAAACATGTACATGTGGCGTGTTTGCATTTCCCCAAACTGGTGTTTGTTGTGTGGGCGCTGGTTTATGTGACGCGCCCACAGCCAGTGAACCCGGTGCAGAACTTCCCCCCAGGTTCTTCCACAAATGCTCTGACAGTTGGGCGGTAAATCGGGAGCTAGGGGAGACTTGATGGAGCACTTAAGTACTTTTTTGGGATTCTTATTGTGTGGCTTTAATGCTTTGTGGCCTGATAAAGAGTTATTTCAGGTATTTTTGTTAAAAAATAGTGTGGTGGGGAGGATATTTCCAAGTTACTTTTGAGAGATGGAGATATGCAAAGTTGTCTAATAAGTCGAAGTTCCCCAAAAGTAATTTAGATTAACTGTGCACATATAATAACTATTACCTCCCCCCCCCCAAAAAAAAAAAAAAAAAAAGACACGATGAAAACGATAATACAAAGGAAAGGGCAGCTGGCCAAAAAAGCAGTAATATACTCCACTTCATATTTTTATTCCGACACATATTTTGAGGTTTCGTTGATCCACTCACTTGTTTAGTCAGTATTTCAGAAATTTAGGCATTTTAGGCTTTCACGTGATAAAAAAGAGTAATTTTGTGATTATTTGAGATTTATCTAGCATTCTCTGTATAGCTCTGGGGGAAGGCATGAAAGGAGTGCAGAAGAGGTGAAGATTGTGTGTTTTTTGTTTGTTTTGCATACCAGGTACTTAATCTCATAAAATTTAACTGTTAGAATGTGATTAAGTTCTGTGACTGGTGACTTAACAACTTTATAGAGAATCACTTGCTTTGGGCGAATCCCTTAACTGCCCTGAGCCTCAATTTCTTGGGCTAGATTCAAACTTTCCTTTCAGCTTAAATTTTACTAATGTAAGCATTAGAATTTGATTGTTTTCAAGATTCCTGGAGTGCTTTTTTTTTTTTTTTTTTTTAAACAGCTTTTGTTTGTTTGTGGACTGAGGAAATGCAGCTGCTCTATCTTTCATATCCACAAACCATTCTTTGAGGTTTGGGGGGTGGACTGCTGAGGTAATGATAGTAGGGATGAAGAGAGGGCATAGGGCAGCCCACCCTGGCCTGCTAGATGGAACAGCAGTAGGGAGTTGTTTTATCCAGGTGACACTTGAAGATCTGATGTCTCCTTTTTACTAGGCGGGGGTGGGGTGGGGTGGGAAATATGGTACTTTTGAATTGTGTAGATGCTTGGATTTAAGTTCTTATCAGTAGCTTCAGGATAGTTGTGGTCTAATTGAACATTCCCCCAGATTCTAACCTGGATTTTTTAAAAACTTGCCATTAAAGCTAAAACTATATTTAAAGAGTCCCCAAGTGTCATTTTTAAATATTTTTTAAAACCAGTCTTGGCAACACAAGGGGAATTTTTCTGACAAGTGGCGCTTTGTAATTATTTCTTCTTGTTCACTTTCCCTTCCCCTGCATTCTATGGAAAAGATTTGTGGATTCTACTTCCTTGTAACTGAGTAGTTGGCTTAAAATTTCAGCAATCTGAATGTAGCTTCAGGCTTCACCCCTTCTCCCAACCCCCTCCCAATGTAGTCTGTGGTTATCAATAGATAGGGGAAAATCAGTTATTGGAATTCAGGTCCAGCATTTAATAAACTTTGTATCAGGTGCTACCCTAAGCTGTCTTAGTTGAAAAACATAAACTCATTCAATTTTAGGGCATATGTAATTTTGTTTCATGAAGATAAGTAAAAGTAAAGTGTAATTCTGCCTTGCTGCATGCTGTAAATAGGGAGTTTGTTTCAACAGGCTTTTCAACATCTGACCCAATCCTACCTTTTCAGCCTGTATTCAACTGCTCTCTTACATAATTGCTCTGCTTCCGCCAGGTTGATATTTTTTGGCTTTTCAAACATACATACCTTATATTTTCTTCTTTTCCCAGTAAAAAGTTCTCTTTGTCCTTTGAACCTCTGTAACCCTTGTTCCAATCATAGGCACTTAAAACACTTTTAGTGCAGTTTTAATTTAATTTTAATTTAAAAAAATATATATTTTATTGATTTTTTTTTTTTTTCAGAGAGGAAATGAGAGGGATAGAGAGTTAGAAACATTGATCAGCTGCCTCCTGCACACCTCCCACTGAGGATGTGCCCGAAACCGAGGTACATGCTTTGACCAGAATCGAACCTGGGACCCCTCAGTCCACAGGCCGAGGCTCTATCCACTGAGCCAAACCAGTTAGGCTTTAATTTTAATTAGTCAGTGCAGTTTTTATAAGTCTTCTGATACATTAGGGAAAATACTATGTTTTTGTACATTTTTGTGTTCTCCTTGTCTTATCCTTTCTCTCCTAGCAGTGACTTGCTGTAGGTGTTTATAGACTCAGGAAGAAAGTGAGAGGAGGTGAGGGAGGGAAAGTAAATAAGGCTTACAAACTTTGCAGTTAGGTTCAAATCTTGGTTCTTCTGCTTTTGTGTAGACAAGTTGCTTTAAGTTTTTGCCTCAATTTCCTTTATCTGCAAAAGAAGGATGATTATACTTCAAGTTTGTTTTTCCAAATTTGTTATATGTGGGCTTATTTTTTAGTAGGGAAAAACCTTTAGTAGGAGAACAAGTCTAGGGACTTGGTGTCTGACACATATCATGTACTTAATATCCCACTCCTGTGCAGAAGGAGAGCGAGGCTAGGAGGAGGTAAGAGAAGAGACTGAACTGTCAGGTCAATTACTGTCAAACTTGGAATATTCTCAGGTTTTGTTATTGTTTGAAATGTAAATTAGCTGATTATCACTGTTTTGTTTTTTTCAGTTGCCTTGTATATTTAAACGTTCTGAAGCTTCAGGTGAATGAATATTGCTTCAGAGAATTACTGTACTTTCTAGACCATAAAACAGATTATAGTGGCTACTACTTTTTGGTCAGCTTTCCCAAATATTGGGACATGCTTTATCATGTACCAGGAAGTATAATTTCTTTTCTTATTTTAATGGCATGGAACTTGATAAATTCTGTCCTAGGGATTTAAAGTTTTCCATTAAACTTGGAAGCCCTCAAGTAATATAACAAGTTTTATATGTAGAATCAAATCCTGTTAGAGTTGGAAGGCCGTGTTGAATGGAAAACTTTTACTTTCTGAAGTATTTGGAGTCCTGTAATCAGGATCAAATCTCTTCTCAGGCATGTGAATATTTTCCTGGTGTTTTTATTTTTTTAGAGAGAAGGGAGGGGAAAAGATAGAGAAAAACATCAGTGTGAGAGACCTACATGGATCGGTTGCCTCCTATACATTCCCTGACTGGGGATGGAACCCACAACCTAGGTATGTGCCCTGACCGGGAATCGAACTTGGGACCTTCTGGTGCATGAGACAATGTTCCAACCAACTGAGTCACACTGGGGCTCTTGGTGTTTTAGAGTCTAGGAAAAGGGGGTTTTGCCTTTGGATTTACTTAATATTTTTGGACCCTCTAGACACTCAATTTTTCATTTACAAAATGGGGAGGAGCTGGAGATTAGTGTTTCTCATTGAAACACATGGGTGATACAGATTAAACAAGTTTTTGCTTTGAATGTGAAAGGACTTAAAGACAAAACCCCTCTATCTTTTAGGTAGGTATGTGGTTGGTTCCCTGAGGGTGAAGCCTTGCTTGTTTTGTTTACTGTGGTAGCCCAGAACCTGTCAGTTACTGGCTTAACTTGTTGAATGGATGAAATTATTAAAAAGACAAAGTTTCAAAGTAGGAAGGATGTGCTCTCAAAGTATTTGCCTTAAAACCAAAAGATTTAGCTTTCTGAACAACTACCTTCACTTTCCTTATTTTTCTCTTTTGCCATTGTTTGTACCCCAATCCCCTGGGATTAGTGGAGTAGATAGATGATTTTAAGAATCTCTTCCAGTGCGGAATATTGGAATTAACTTTGGTTTTGACAGAACAAATAATTTATAAATAGTAAGAATCTTCTTAACTGGAATTTGAACATACAGCTTGAAGTGTCTTATTGTAAACTACACATTTTTTATTTATTTTTAATATGTTTTTATTAATTTTTAGATAGAGAGGAAGGGAGAGGGAAAGAGAAACATCAGCTGCGTCCTGTATGTCGCCGGGCCCCCTCCCCCCCCAATGGGGAGCCAGTCCACATTCTGCCTTGACTGGGAATGAGTCGGCCTTCAACCACTGAGTTATACTGACCAGGCTGTATTTTCTATTTAAAGTTTTAAAATATATATATATTTATTGATTGATTTCAGAGAGGGGGAGAGAGGTAGAAACATTAATGATGAGAGAGAATCATTGATCGACTGCCTCCTGCACACCCCACTCTGGGAATCTGGCCTGCAACCAGGGCATATGCCCTGACCAGGAATTGAACTGTGACCTCCTGGTTCATAGGTTGATGCTCAACCACTTAGCCTCACTAGCCAGGCAAAATATTTTTTTGATAGTAGCCATTCTAATGAGTGTGAGGTGATATCTCATTGTGATTTTGATTTGCCTTTCTATAGTGACATTGATCATATGTTTGTTGGTCATTTGTATATCATTTTGAGGAATCATTAGCCTTTTCTTTTTAAATCCTCACTGGAGGATATGCTTATTGATTTTGGGGCGGGGGGGATAAGAATGAGGGGAGAAGGAGAG